GGGTAGCTGCTAAAGAAAGAGCTAAGGCATATCTAAATCTCTTATGACTTTTCCTGTCTTTTTACTGACTTATTCCATTTAATCTGAAGTTGTGAATTTTGCACAGAACACCAGAAAGAGATGGAATAGATCATCTTCAGACACCTTATATATAGATCATCTTATATATGGTAAATTCTTTTATTTCTCTTTAAGCTCAAATTCTGTTCCCAAGGATGAACAGGTACAATTAAGGCACTTTGAGCCCAAAGTTATTTCTGATTTCTTCAAGTGTCCATGTGAGCTTGAGATAAAAATCACTTAAGAAAAATCATAGCACATACATTTGAAAATCCCAAATTCAATCTTTGCGTGATTGTGGAAAGCCCTATAAGACACAAAATTCTTTAAAAAATAAGGAGGTGATAACTTTCAAATTAGGTATTTAAAAATAATCCACTGGATGTTAAACATTCACGACTTTTTTATTGTTTGGAGCATAGCTATTGATTTAGGTAAAGAAAGCAGACAATCCGAATAATGGGAAGACTGTTCTTCCCCACCCTTTACAGCTCATCCAGTGCCTCAGCCCTGTTTTCATTCAACTCTCTAAATTCTAAACTAAACTGTTGACCGGACACAACGTGGAAAAAATATCTTGAAATAAACAGGCTTCTATATTTATACACATTCCGCTGTGCTTGTGATAAAACTGATCAAGAAGATGAGTGTTTCTGGAAAACAAATAATTCTTCACAAAAATAAAGATTAAAACAAAAGAAAAAGGTGATCCAGTGTTACATCAGTGGTTGAAGGACAGAGGAGAGATGTAGTCTGAATTTTGCTGAAAGGTTTGATAAACTGTGGAAGACCTCTGAAGCATAGGAACCTGGCAGTATCCATCTGATAGTGGCAGAAGAACACAGGATACACAGCAAATGAGCAAAAACTGACATAGCCTGATGAGGCTGGTATCCTTTCCTTGCCACGCTGACATATTAATCTATCCCACTGTCCTCTCCCTTGTACCTCCTACTGCAAGCCACGTCTCAATGAGTTTACCTGTCCTCAGGGGCTATGATGGCATATAATACTTTCTCTGTTGTGCCCAGTTTTAATTACAAGTTTTAATTGAGCATAAGGCTGCTCTGATGAAGGACACAGTCATATTGAGAGTTGGTGAGTAGCAGACCTGGTATTTGTGGCATTTATTTCATTGTAAGTCAGCTACCTGAGACACATCCACATGGGCAGACTAGTTCTCAGGTGTTTATTTTAGTTTGCCATAAAAACAAAGAGAGAAGAGCAGTGGGAACAAAGCTTCATTCATGGTTACCCAGAATTTTGTCAGCATTATACAATTTTTTACTTACTGTTTATCATTTCAGACCAATAGAAAACACTGAGAGAAGGCTTATTACCTACTAAACCTTATCTGAAACAGAAAGTCCTGGCAATATGTGGATTGTCCAAGACAAATTTTACTGGCATAATAGTTAAAATATCCAGATTAAGCCAGCAGACATACTGACGAGGTATAATAAAAGCACTGTAGTTTTAAGGCTGCTGCTGGTATCTTGGCAATTTGATAAATGAGATCCTGTCTCATTTTGTGGAGCAATGTAACCTTACTGACTTCAGCAGCAGTTGCATGAAAAATACTGCACTGCAAGAACTGCCCCAGTGTTAATGGAAAAGAATAATATCCCCAAATTTAAGGTTATGCAACTGTGTGGCAATGTAGATTGCCTAGAAATGGAGAGCACCAAAGAAACATAAAACAGTAGGAGACTAAGTCCATGCAAATGATTTATAAGGGCATTTTTTCCTTAATGAAATGGTGTACCATTAACTGACTGGCTTCTCGCTGTTAGTTAAGTCCTAAATGCAGCCTGGTGTGTTTTAGCGATAGCCAGAAGTGACTTTGCTGAAGTCAACAGAATAACCTCTGTATATCAGTGCTCCATTAGAGTGAAGCAAAGACAGTGTATTTATTTCTGAACAGGAGCAATGGTACTATGGCATGGTACCTTTTACATGTTGCTATAATGGTTCTCTTATGGTTGCTATAATTTTTTGACATGCCAACTGGGGGCTATACATTTGTGATTTAATTTTCCAGCTTCTGGTGTACTGCTTCTTACCTAGAAAGCAAACTAGCATGTTTTCAACATTGAGAACAGCGACTAGTTTTGCCATCTGGGATTGCAGAAAGCACAGCGGTGGAAAAAATAATACTGTGTGTCTAAACGTGGGAAATATAAGAGGCAGTATATGCACACAGAAGCAAATAAGGCACTATTCTATAAACAGCTGTACTTAGCATTGATAATTTGTTAAAAGAGAGAAGATAAAATATGCCAGCTCAAATCCAAATTCCTTTAGAAGTCAGCTGTTTTAGGACCAAGCTCGTGAGTCCCCTCAAGAAAAAAAGGAAAACACCCCTAAACAAAGAAAACGCCGTGAAAACCAGTCTTGGACGCATGTTAAATAATAGCACTGCCTTGAAATAAAAGGGCATTGGGGAGAATTTAGAAAGGTCATCACTCCAAGGGTTTTATTTCCATGGGGTTGCAAACTTTAAGTTTACTTTAACACAAGCTTAAATTGCCTTCAGATTATTTCTCTTAAGGAAAAACATGAGTTAGGAGAGAATGGGAAAGCATAAACAATTTGAATGTCACAGCCTAGTAAATAACAACAAGTAGCAGTCCTAAAGGAATGGCTGCGGATTTCAAGGAGACATGGACTCATGCAGGATGTGAGTTAACTACCGTAGACTTCCCACTATCTTAAAGTGGGCTCCCACTGACGTTATTGGTATCCTGTGGGGAGAGAATAAGACCCATATTTTTAGATTTGTGTACGCTAGCTATTTTCTGGAGTTGTTACAGCACTAGTGTATTTTTAGTGGTTCATTATATTAAGTCGAAGAGCCTTTGCGTTGTGTTGTGTCATACGCAGTATGTGAACTTCCTGAAGCTCATCTGTTCCTTTGATCCTACCAGCCACAATAGCAGCACAGCTGACTCATCAGCCACCCTATTTCTTCCTTATTAGGAGCTCCTCAGGTAGGCAGAAACGTGTCAAATGGGACAGTATAGCCCATATTGACTCTGAGTCTATCATTGACGCGATGTCCACTGCAGATGGGAAGAATCTGAGCAGTATCAGAGATACTGCAGATATTCATGTGTTTGCTCTAATTATCCTAAGCATATTTTGTATACTTTGCAACTATAGTAATGGCACCCTATATTAATGACAAATTTCTTGCAAGATGCAATTATCTGTGCTTATCATGTAGATGGCAAGGCTTATTAGATAAACTGCAAGGCCTGATATACATATAGAATTCGTAATTGAATGTATCTTGACTAATAAGTTGATATACAGAGGTCATATCTAGGTGTTTTTTCTGGTATATGTTTCTAGGAAAGACTGAAGGTCAGTTTTCCTTTGTGAAGTCTCTTTGACTTTCCTGTTATAACTGTTATTCAAAATAACAAAATCTGATGTTCTACTAAATCTGTATTTCTCTTACCGCCTTCCTTTTCATCAGTGAACATTTAATTTGTATTGTCAGTAACACATGCTAGCTGTTAGAAAATCCAAATAAAATTATACAATGCCTCATGACAGACATTCCATTTCCCCACTCCTCACTGCTATACACACAATCCTTCATGACAGCTGTTTAAGATGCATGGCACTGACTCTCTCCACAATGTCACTATCTAATGTGAATTTGCTAGAAAAATAATACAGTATTACTTTTCATTTTGAAAACATGGCAGTAACTAAATTCTTATGTGCAACATTTTGAAAATGGTTATGTAAGTTTAGCTTTATGCATTTCAACAGAATTTGCAAAATACTTTTTTTTTGAGTTAAGAGAATCACACAATGTACTTTAACATATTCTATACTGGCTCTCCTGGCCAATCCCCTCAACACAGGGTACACCAAGGCTTTCAGTAGTTTATGAAGCCACATGACTATTGTCTAAGAGGTATTTTCTTCTTTTTCTTGTCTCTCTGCTATTTTTCCTTGTCTCCCTGCTTTTTTTCCTTGTCTGCATTTCTCACAGGTAGAAGCCTGTGCAGTCTTCCTTCCCTTCCCTTCCCTTCCCTTCCCTTCCCTTCCCTTCCCTTCCCTTCCCTTCCCTTCCCTTCCCTTCCCTTCCCTTCCCTTCCCTTCCCTTCCCTTCCCTTCCCTTCCCTTCCCTTCCCTTCCCTTCCCTTCCCTTCCCTTCCCTTCCCTTCCCTTCCCTTCCCTTCCCTTCCCTTCCCTTCCCTTCCCTTCCCTTCCCTTCCCTTCCCTTCCCTTCCCTTCCCTTCCCTTCCCTTCCTCCCTTCCTTCATTCCATCCCCTCTCTATTTTTGCCTATTTCCCTCTTTACCTCTTTCTTGTGTGTGTGTACATTGCACTGTGAATTTATATTAGTGAAGGAAGAGCTGAAGAAGAGCACTTCTTTATACTTGGAGCAGAAACTGGTGACATCTGAAGTAATGCAACACACTGAACTACAGTGCACAGACAGGAGGGCAGTAAGTTACCCTGGTTCAAAGTATGTTTAAGATAACATTTTGGTTGGCTTGCAACAGCTGTGCTGTAGAAGCTTACAAGCTAAGGAAGGCTGGGCCTCATTAATACTTGGATGGGAGATCTCCAGACAGCACTAAAATTTATTTCAGAAAGTTGCACTAGTGACTTCATATCTGGCACTTTGAATTGGTGCTGTCTCAGTGTTTAGCATGATGATAGGGATAGAATATTTCAAGAGAAAAATAGTTGTATAATCAGCTACTTTGCACAGTCTTTACTTCAGCATAAAAGAAAAGTCAGATCCAGGAGATAAGAGTGTTTTAGCACTAAAAATGCATTGTTGCTAGCTGTAAGTATAGAGGTTTTACTGTAGTGTTCTTGGCCAAGCTTCTGCGTGGGTTCCTTCTGCTCATGAGTGTGATTTCACACAGGGCTTGATTTGATCTAAACTCACATTGCTCCTCCTGTGACAGCAGTGAACCTGCTCTCCTCCACTACTTCCAGTTACATACTCTTTACTCTGGATGAAATGGAACCCTACAACACACAGGGGTAATGCAGAAATGACCAGACAGACCAATGAGGTGTTGCAGCTGTGTGATTTGACGATGCCAGCACAAGGGATGTGGTGGAGATCCAACTGTGGGAGCAAGGTAGGGCTATTCTACTGGGCACTCTCAAACAGTCTCAAGTGACTGCTAAAGCGGTGCCCTGCAATCCCTCACTGGTTTAGTCTTGAGAAGACATTCCAATCGTCCTGTTCCAGGCCTTTCTTTGCAGGGTTATTTCCATGAGCTGTCACATCCCTTCAAAGGACGGCTGCTGAGAGAATGAGTGACAGGGCTTTATTTACCTTCCACACAAAAGGTGCTGCCCTTCCACAAAATAAAAGACCTAAAGTTTTCAACTGCCTTTGTCTCCACAAAATCCAAATCCACCAAGAGTAAGAGCTCTCTTAAAATCTCCTGCAGCCTCTCTAAGGGCACCGCAGGGAGTACTGAGGCCCTGGTCACAATGCGAGCTTTTAGGTTGCCACCTCAGTTTTTCAAAATGTGTCAGGCTCCCTGAATGCTGTGTGATGCACAGGAACTGTCTGTCAAGGGGATTTTTCCTCCTTTGGGTTAATTTCTAGGGGAAAGTCTAAAGTGTCCTAGTCTAATACTTGTCACCACAGCACATGTGTATCTGTGCATATATGTGTCTACATGCATGTATACATAATCATAAACACAAACATGTACACACACAAACTCTTCTGGCAAAAAAGGAGGGATAAGCTGTTAATTACAAAAGCAATTCTATCACTGTATGAAATTTAAAACTTAGTGTTTTACTCAGAATATTTTATTATTATATTTGCTCAGCTTCAATAGATGGCAACTTCAATGAAAGGGAGGAAGAAAAACCAGAGCTCTGCACCAGCCAGTGATGGGAATGGAAACATCTCTCTGTTCCATCCAAATGTAATCTCCAGACCAGCCTTCCCTCACACTGCTCTTTCAGGCAGTGATACGTTGGAAAGGATTTCACAGCTTCAACTGTTTTTTCTATGCACAGGAGAGATTCCTGGTCTCAGCTGTGTAAATGTTTTAACTGAGATTCATGCTTGGCTATTCAGGTCATTGCTTTCTCTTCCGGCCCACACAGGCCAAATGAATCTATATAAGCATAAAGTGTCCAAAATCAACACAGTATTTTTCACTTGAACACACCCATGGCACGTGGCTAACTCAAAGTACAGGGTACAATGCCAAGCAGTAGATTTGTACATTTGCCTGATATGAACTTAGCATGATTTATAAGAAAAGATGCAATAGCCTTTGCAAATCTGACTTGGCAGAAACCCCTTCCAAAGGAGGAACCCAAGGAAACCAAACTCTCCCTTCTGCCTTAAATAAGGACTAATCTAACATAGGAAATGCTCTCAAAATATGTAATTTATATTCAGACTTACCATGTATTTCTTTCTGAATTCAATAAACCTCTAGTTCCTTTACTGGAAGAATAAAATATTTTTCCTTCTGCTCTTTCAACTTCATTGTATAAGGATTTTAGGGAGACCTTGAAATTCATAAAATCATAGACTGATTTGAGTTGGAAAGGATCTTAAGGTCATCTAGTTCCAACCCCCCACCATGGGCAAGGACACCTTCCAGTAGACCGGCTTGCTCAAATCCCCATCCAACCTGGCCTTGAACGCTGCCAGGGATGGGGCATCCACAACTTCCTCAGACAGCCTGTTCCATTGCCTCACCACTCACCAACTCAACAGGAATTAAATTATTAAAACACCTTTAGTTTTAGAAAGACTTAGGTAGCTCTAGAGTCATGTTTAACTAATGAAAAATCTTGCACGGATTGTGTTCCCACATATTCTCTGGAACTCTTTGCAACATCAAATGAAAATAATGAAATCCAAGGCATATGCTCCTGTGGTGCCAAGACTCTCCTTTTGTGACACTTCCCTAGATGTTTATTTCTAAATTTCAGTGTAATCATAAAACCAGGAACTTGAATACTATTTTTACTAAATAAATGAACAGGTCATGAGTTTTTTTTTGTGATCGAAACTTATCCTTGTTGCTTGAGACTGCAAGGCTAAGTGATTGTTGGGCCCCCAGAGAAGGGCTTACAAATATTTGCGATGCCACTGTTTGCAGCTGGTTTGGCTCATGGGTTTTCCACTGTACTGGGCTCATCGACATTTGTCTGCTGGCATGTACAAGGAAGGCAGAAGGCTTTGCTACTGTCTGAGAGTCCTTGAGAAATAAAACTAGATAGTTCTGGCCTTGGTACAGGAGCATTTACCATTTTAAGTCTAAAAGAATACGTATACAATAAAAATAACATAGTTCTTCTGCAATTGATCTTAACAGGAGGAGGAGGGCTTCCATCTTTCCCTAAATTTGGGAAAAAAAAAAAAAAAGAAAAAAGAAAGGTCTAGAGCTGAAAGAGTGATGCAGCTGTCTTAACCCATCTTTATTTGTGTATCATGGTCATTGTCACCACTGTCACAAACTCCCCTTCTCTTTGCCAGCTGCAGGGTATAGAAGGAATTGCTGTCTATGAGCCTCACCACACAAAGACCATCAACGTCTTGCCTACAGCAAAGGAATGCTCAAACTGCTAAGTTATTTGGTAAGCCTCAGATTTTCTTTTTTTCAGCTTTATAAATGTATATAGGTATTATATCTTTGCACTTCTTTCCAACAGCATTTATCTCCAGATCTGGGTCAAATTTGGCAATAGTTGAGACAACAAAGCCATGATTTTTTGCTAAATCAGTTTTGTCAGAGAAAAAAAGTATCAAACATTTCCCTGCTTTTGTTAAGGGCAAAGTTGCTCTAGCAAACTGGAAAACTGCTGTTTTTATTTGCTGACCTTTATTTCTTGTGCAATTGGATGAAAGGAATGGCCATTGCTCCTTCTTCTTCCATGTATTATGTTTGATCTGATGTACCCTCTCCATTGCCCCTTTTCCAGGTAGAAAAGTCTTCCTAGTCTACTCAGTCTAAAGTTGCACAGAAACCTCCCATGCTTTTGACCATTCCTGCTCCCCAGGTAGACTTTCGTTCTAGTTCTATCAAAGTCTTTCTAGAACTGGGATTTATATTGCAGTATAATGCAATATAACTTCTCTTTGCTTTTAATTTATCTCCCAGTAATTCCCAAATGCCTTTTTCATGGCTGGCCTAAGATAGCTTTTATATAAAACTGTAGAAAAGAACTCCATGCAGGCACTTCCCAGTACAGAAATCTTTAGGGTTTTTTTCTCCTCTTATTATGTGTTATTTTGCATTTACTGACTCTGAACTCAATCTACTATTTTATTACCCTGTCAGCAGAAGCTCTTCACAGTCACAGTTCTGGGCACCTTGAATAATTTTGTAGCAACAAAAGACTGCCACCTATAAAATGCTAAACAATCCAAAATTTCTAGCCTTTGTTGCCACTGCTCACAAAAGAGAACAAGTCTCATTAGCACTTTGATTTTATATGCCTATCATATTAAGGGGATATTCACTCTATCTATCCTTTATGTAATGCAGAGAAAGAGCAGATAAACAGAAAAGCAGACTCACTGACAGAAGATCTTGTCTGTACTATGGAAGGGATTTGCATATTGCAGCCCAAGTCTGTGTGAAATGAAATAAATAACCTAAAAGCTCCAATGGTGCAAGTCAATTATATCAGCAAGTATTAGTGAAACCCAAGGATCTCTTTCTCAGTCTGCCATCTATGTACAGAGGAGCCTGATGTTTCCACAGTCCCCAAAGGGCTGTCCTAAACTGAAGTTACTAGGGATTTATCACCACCAATATAATAATACTCTATAATTTGAAGCCTAGTTGCTGGACTTTTTCATGTGTATTATCCATTGCGTCAGAAGATAAACCTTTAGCTATGTAACCGTGGCAATCCTTCAGTGATTCCACTTTGAAAATATGTAAGAGAAGCTGTGTATGGTGTTTGCCTCTGATTATTTTATGTAGTGAAAATACATGAGATTTACTCTCACGTTGTTGAACCAGTCCCCCTTTCTTACCTTCATGACAACTACTTGCAAATCTGTCAATGCTTATTGAGGAGTGCACCAAGACACAAAGGATGCTAGGACAATTACTCTGAGCTATGTACTCCACTGTCAGGATGCTCTTGTCTTGGTTTTGAAAAAATATGTTCAATGGGAATAAGATAAAACCATGTGACCTTTATATGGTTTAGAAAGTATATGTTGGCAAAGGCTTGTCTCTAACAAACACTGTTTCTTCTTTAACTAACATCAGGGGAAAACCCCATAATAACTCTTTTAAACTATTGTAAGACAATAACCTACTCTAGCCAAATAACCTATGGCATCTTTCTCAATTCAACCTGCAGTATATCACTTTGACAGACTTCAAACCATCCTCACAGTCACAGGGGGACAATGCTGACAGATACAGAGCTCAGGAAAGTAAAAGGAAAATTTTCCAATTGTTTCAATAGGAAAAGATCCTGTCAAAAGAAGGAAAAGGATAAGACAATGAAATTTCGACTTATGGGGATAGATGATCCTTCTGCTGCCACAGAAAACCTAATGTATCTGCTGACAACTGCAGAAAGATGTATTTCCTTAAGGAATTAGTTTTTCTTTTTTTTTTTTTCAATATTTGTATGCTTAGGGACAGTTCAGTTTTAATGCCCAGTTAGTGTTGAAAAAAACAAAAGAAGCAAAATTTGCTTCATTTCCAAACTGAAAGAAAATCCAATGCACAATTTGTTTATTATTTCAAGTGAAATGAAATGAAAGTGGCTCATTGAATCTGTGAAAAATAGCAATTAATAGCAGGTATACAAGCAAGCAGCTCCTGTTGAGCATCACAAGAGCCCCAGTCCTGCATGTGTTTATGTGACAAGATCTGGAACTGCCTGCTGAAATAACTGCAGTGGACAGAGTTTACATGTCTGAAGCACATCTTTGTATGGAAATATTTGCATGACCTGAGTGTTACGGCACATGTTTTCACAGAAGATGACATTTTGCCACCTATTTAAGGCTTGATTAAAATCCCATTTAAGTTGATGGAAAAGGTCCACATACCTGTAGAAATCGAATTAAGTCTGTAAGAAAAACTCACCACTCTCAGGTGTTTAATCCAGCACTGAGTATTGGCTTGTCTTAATTGGACAAATGTGTGTCTGATGGTGCTCAGGCAGGGCTATCTAGATCCTGTTACATAACTAATTGCACACTGGGTCTAAATCACTAATGCTGTGTGTGTAAAGCAACACAGAAAGGTCATCTGCCTATGAACAGACTAGTAGGGGAGGTTGTGGAATGGGGAAAAATAGGGGGAGACCAAACCACCTATCACTACTGAGTTGCTTCAGAGCCCTTACTTTGAGAGCTGAAAGGGAGGAGGCTGCAATTGGCTGCATCCATCTTTGACCCAACTTTGCATTTGAAAAGGTAACTTAGCTATCTCTCCCACTACAAAGCAATCTGCAATACACATTTGCTTTTGCATTGCTCTTTAAAGATCAGGATTTGAACAACATGGTCTAGTGGAAGGGTGGAAGGTGTCCCTGCCCATAGCATTGAGGTTGGAACTACATGAAGGTCCCTTCCAACCCAAACCATACTATGAGTCTATGATTTTCTCTTTTTCAGACTGACACATATGTACAGCTCTAGACAACCTTCCCTTCTTACAGACAAAAGCCACAGCAGTAAGAACCTCTGCAACTCACACCATCATGCTGCAAACATACTGAACAGAAAAAGCAAAACTGCTAATAATTATGCTTGCTCAGTAGGCATAAAATAACGTCTCCTTCCCCCTTTCCCTTTAACACTCTGGAGAGTTAGAAAGAAGCAAAAACACCACAGCATAGTTTAGATGAAAATATTACTAGTTGAATTAAATATATATTAAATTACTTCACTTGCCCATTTTGTTAATTGACGGTAAAGGAGACTTGCTCGGTACTTGGCCAGGGCAATCTTCTGTTCAGACTCGTAGTTTGGGTGTCTGTGAAAACCCTGTGTACAC